TAACCGCAGCTCTACTTTGAGCTAACCGCAGCTCTACTTTGAGCTAACAGCAGCTCTACTTTGAGCTAACAGCAGCTCTACCTTGAGCTAACAGCAGCTCTACTTTGAGCTAACAGCAGCTCTACTTTGAGCTAACAGCAGCTCTACTTTGAGCTAACCGCAGCTCTACTTTGAGCTAACAGCAGCTCTACTTTGAGCTAACCGCAGCTCTACTTTGAGCTAACAGCAGCTCTACTTTGAGCTAACAGCAGCTCTGCTCTGAGCTAACAGCAGCTCTGCTCTGAGCTAACACCAGCTCTACTTTGAGCTTCAAACCAGTTGTTTCGAAACCAGCACTCCTCAATCCAAAGATGCCTCTTTGTTGACTTGTTTGTGTGAGGGATGGGGCTAATGCAAACTAAGAATGTGAAGTTGGAAAGACAGAAAGGCCAGGATCGTATGACATGATTGTATTGTAGCTTTGTTCTCGAATTACATGCAAGAACAAGAATATACTACAAACGAGAGTAAGAATTGCGATCAAAAGAAGAATAAGAAGCATGGCAATGTTCTTCAGCACGTAGATCTACGTTGGAAAGCACAACACTGCGGACATCGTTCGTGTTGGCTGTATTGAATACTAATACTTCGAACTGTACAATGTCATGTAATAATCAATAGCTGTAGTTTATTTGGCACCACTTATCACAGTCCTGATACAGTGTACCAGGAAAGGGATTAAAAGACTAGTAACTCATCTCCTCGGAATGCGTGAATGGAATTCAATATTCTATTTTTATTGATAAGCGATTCCTCGCATATGCAGCCATTCATCCATTCGGCTATTCAGCCATTCGACTACATACACTGTATTCGACTCATAATTATCAGGAGAAACACTACGGACTCTGACGTTTAAATGTCTCACTGCAGTTCCTCAATGGTGTGTCTGTCGTGGTACCGGTAGTTTCGCCATATCCATCTCAGATGTACTGCTCCTATTTCACTGCAATGATGCATACACACTAGTCTTACTCTATGTTGGGGTTATCATATCTGCAGAGACAGAAACTGTTTCTCCGTGAGTAGTAGTCTGAGGAACTGGCTAGTAGAGCTGCACAGGCCAGTGCAGCTAAGAAAGAACTCCTCACCATGCATGTATGACTTGCCTCTCCGTGCCATGAGCATGAGGTTTAGAATGAGATGCTACGGTTGCCAGCCTGCTGCTCTATCTGCTGCAAAAGCATCGAGCTAGTGCAACGCCCCTGGCGAACTTTACCCTAACAAAGCACTCAACTAAAACGTCTAGAAGACTTCACAGATGACCTCCCTTGTCCCCTTGGCTTCCTCCTGCTACATTTCAGCAAACCTGTGTTGATCAGACTGAGCGTCACACCCTCTCTGCCTTCAGCCCTTTGTCAACGTTGTGTTTCACCGCTCCATTCCGCATGCGAATGACTGTCAATCCCTGGCCGTGACTGGGTTTACCCCAACTCTGCTACAGTCCACAGATGTTATATGATTGCATCCCAGTCCCGCACCTCTGGGTTTTCAGGTGGTACGGAGAAATGGGATACCAAAATGAACACTATTGGCGAAAAACTCCGTTAGCTTGGTGGGTCAACGTTTTCGAATTAATTAAGGACGGGCCACACCGAGTGCTACGGCCAACTGGAAGCCCCATGTTGCGAGGTCAATCGACCAGAATAGGATAGCTCTGGTACCTCTGCCGCCAAGGAATCAAACACTTTGCTTTTAGTAGCACGCCTGTTGCCTGCTTGGCTGCAGACAGCTCTCGTTTTGTGGAACGAGTACTGAAGTGCAAGCCAATGAATCACCAAGTGGGCCTTGTGAACGGATGGGTTTCACCAGAGGTGCAACAATAGCCTTTGATGTAACATACTGGCTATGAAGGGTTGTTGGGACCACGATGTCTACACCACCATGTCGGCGGACTGGAAAGGAATCATTGCCTCTCCAGTTCATTAGGGCGATGGCCAGTTAAAATCCCGAGCAGCTTGTGGCTAATGGCTTCCTCCAATGGCTCTAAAGCTGCTGCAGCACCCTCCACTATAATTATGCGGCAAAGAAATGTCCATTTGTATTCTTTGTCACTTAAGCATGGTATACCGGTAGGGGCTGGCTGTGGCTGCAAATCGGCAAACTCACATGGCCTGAGCAATCCGCTCACCCTGTCAACCAGGTATTCCTCGTGCCAAGGTCTGGGGCATGTCAACCAGGTATTCCTCGTGCCAAGGTCTGGGCAAAGATGACGGCAAGTTCCAACCGTCCATCCTCACTTGAGCGCGTGTGTCTGCGAATACTTCAAGAGCTGCATCGTCCACTCCCCGGCCTCAGACAGTAGTAGTGTTGATTTCGTTGGATTTATAATGGTATGGGTAAGCTCCCCAAGGCTGCTCAGGGAATCTCACCACTAACGGACCGCTGGCAATCAGCCTGCTCAGGAAGAGTCATCTACAAACCATGTTTGAACGATGTCAGCCATTGACACTCCCTCCATCAACGGCACCACTCCTCGAGCATACATGACCATTGATAGCGGATCTCCCTGTGTGATGCCCTATCAAGTATCATGACTGTACAAGTCATCATCAACGGGCTGGGCTACGGTATGTGTTTAGCAGCGACCTCCCGAGCCACCACATTCCTGAACGGCGACACAAAGCTGAATAGAACACTTTCTTCTTGGATTTTACTGCCAATCACGCCCATAATAATCGTTTTCTCGATTATGTGTCGCATTAGCTCGCCTATCCCAATGGGCCTCGCGCCCGGAATTCTATTCTGTCCAGAGAAATGCCGCTGCAGAGGCTTCACAAAGGTAATAATTATACGTACATGTACATGTACATAATACATGATTGTACAGTCATGTACTTCAAGTATTAGTGTTAGTACTAGTTATCAGGCCTCTTTTACGGGCAACTTAAACAGTATTAGTACTAGTAGTGGGGTGAATGCTGACATGCGACACCACTTCAAAGGGTCCAGACCACAGCACTAACTTACTAACTGGCTTGGCCCAAGGTTTGATGATGGCTGTTGGTTAGCGCACCTCTGGGGTTATGCCTTATGGTAAGGTCTCGCTGAAATGCCATAATCTTGGGTGGGCGTAAATTGCTGGACGAGCTTGGGCTGCCACGGTATGCTGGGGGCCTTAGGTTTGTAACCATAATTAAAATAGAAGGGAGCATTCCCTGTGGAAGCCTGTTGGGAAGTTTGGTACTTTTTTGAAAGTATAATTCAGACAGCAGAAAGTATAATTCACACAGCAGAAAGTATAATTCACACAGCAGAAAGTATAATTCAGACAGCAGTAATAACTGGGCCCAATTGTCTTGTTTTAAAAGGATCACAAATGCTCTGAGAATATCACCAATCAGCCTATTCATTTTGGATGAAGATAAGGCCTGAAGGCGAACAATATTCCAGATGTACACATTAGCTTGGTTCTCTTCATGTTATTGTGACCTATTTCATAGATGTTGGTTGCCTTGTTGCTTTCTCTCCCCTCTCCTCTCACCCAAGCCATTCTGCATAAGCGAAGCTGTGGACGCAGCATGCTGCTGCTACACTTCAACGCGGGAATGCATAATTATACTACTACTACTACTACTACTACTACTACTACTACTACTACTACTACTACTACTACTACTACTACTACTACTACTACTACTACACATTAGCACTAACCTCAGTATCAATAGTGAAGGTGGTTTGGACTAGGTGGACGCATTTCAAGAGTCTATCAAAATTGCACCGTATACGGTTCACTTCGGCGCCATCCAACAATAAAGTCCATAGAAGTGTGAGTCCATGGTTGACTTGATGTTGGAAGTGACTGTGAACGTCCAGGTCGCCATTGATACGTTGACAAGTTCCACGACATTTTTAATGAATCCTTTGGCATCTAATCCCATCATGACCAATAAAGATGACGTGGCAATTGGAAATACATGTAGCTACAATGATGTCAGCCAGGATGACTAGCAACAACACGGTCAGGACAACCAGGGAGTAGTACAATACCATATACAGGTATTGTACTACTCCCTGATGACAACATCCCAGGGTGCCATGGATCGTGCTGCTGCGACAGATACAACGGGTCTATGCCATCTCGTTGGTGATGGGTTCAAGTTCAGAAGCATGTTGTGACCCGCTTCTGACAACAGCTTACTTCAAGTAGATAGTTGTCTGAAGGTATTGGTGAACTGACTTGTGCCATTCGGCGGTGCCCGTGTGGTAGAGAGCACTTTCAGCAAGCAATAGCAACTTTAATAGCTAGTACATGTTCTCGGAACTATTACATTGTGAACTTGAAAACTCTGACCCTGCATGAAAATCTCTTTGCTGTAAATCTGGGCACCGTAACAAAGCCTCAGCACCATTGCCGGGTGCTGCCTGGTTCATGGTGCACAGTGAACCTGATCAAAACTCGCCTCCCGTTTGCTAAGGTTAGACTTGTCCCCCGTGCGAGTAGCATTTCTGGGCTCTATCCATTGCAGAGAATAACTTGGAGCAGAGTAAACAGCACTTCTGCAACAAAAAAAGTGAGAGCGGTGAGTAGAGCTTGCCAAGAGTACTCTTGATCAGATCCACCGACTAAGCCTGAAACTCGCTCACTAAAAAATAAAAGTAAATTATCGTGTCCGTTCCCGAAGGGAACTCACGACGGCCGCTAACACCCGGTAAACTCACGACGGCCGCTAACACCCGGTAAACTCACGACGGCCGCTAACACCCGGTAAACTCACGACGGCCGCTAACACCCGGTAAACTCACGACGGCCGCTAACACCCGGTAAACTCACGACGGCCGCTAACACCCGGTAAACTCACGACGGCCGCTAACACCCGGTAAACTCACTCACTGCATCCATGTTACTCTGCTACCAGGCCAAAAGTCCTTCCGCTTCCAAGCAGCTCAGCTTGAACCTGGTACCCTCTATTTCCCAGTCATGCTCTTAGACCATGCCAATATGCAGGCAGATACCGTCAAGTGTAGGAATATATTTTACGGAATTCCGTCGTGATGGCATAATAATTGTGATAATATGAAAAAATATTTTTTGATTGTGTGAGGAAATTTTGGGATCATATGAATAAAACGTTCGCGCATTACAAAATAATGGTAAATTGATGAATATACTCAGATTAAGAAAATTAGTCACTACGTTGTGAATAATGGGTTTGATAGAAAGTAGACATTTGAAGATTTGAAGAATTGATACATCAGAATTTAGTGGTACCTATACCTTGTGAACAGGCGAATCATTTCCCCACCATGACGTTACAGGCGCTGCAAGTCTGCGAGCAGATCTGCATGAGGTCGGGCGGACAGGGCTTTCCCTCGTAAAACTTGCACATTGGGTGGGTGTCGGGATGGCAGTACTGTGTCCGTGGCTCGCACGCTAAGTAAACACACACACACGCACAGAAAAGAGAAGCAGTCAGACAGAGACAAATAGCATAGCCGCAAACGACGGGCTCTGCTGCACTAATCCTAGCAATGCAAAGACGTGCCACAGTCAATTGATGGGCATTTACACTCATACCTCGGTTATCAGGACATCATTATCAGGACATCATTATCAGGACATCATTATCAGGACCCTGAATTTACGGCCACTTCGGTCTACCGGGCACCCTTTGGGTGAGTTACACAGGAAATGATAATACTCTTTTGTCACCTTTTTTTGTGCAAATAACCGAAATAGTGATGCCACATGCCACATCCATGGCCTTTCTCCATCGAAATGCATGGGATTCGGAGTTACCAGTACAGATACACGTTACAGGCAGTGCCCAGATAAACGTTACAGGCAGTGCCCTGATAAACGAGGTATAAGTGCAATATGTTTGGTTGTCAGATCTCAGGTCTTCGGGTATGTCCCAGGTTTGCTTACTGGTTTGGGTGCATTCTTCTAGCATTGCCATACGCTCCATGCGATTGCAGAGCCTAGGTGCAACGGTTGTGGTGGTGCCATCCTGGGGATTGACCGCGACACACTTCATCGTCTTCACTTGTCCACTGCAAGTATTACACTAGAGAAGATCACACACACAGCAACGGAACATTAGCCTGGTAACTTACACGCAAGGTTTCCTCAGTTCAAACACTCAACTGGCTGCAATACCGGGAGTTTAGCCTGGTTACACATCAATACCGGGAGTTTAGCCTGGTTACACATCAATACCGGGAGTTTAGCCTGGTTACACATCAATGCCGGGAGTTTAGCCTGGTTACACATCAATACCGGGAGTTTAGCCTGGTTACACATCAATACCGGGAGTTTAGCCTGGTTACACATCAATACCGGGAGTTTAGCCTGGTTACACATCAATGCCGGGAGTTTAGCCTGGTTACACATCAATACCGGGAGTTTAGCCTGGTTACACATCAATACCGGGAGTTTAGCCTGGTTACACATCAACTTTGCTTTGCACAGGACTACAATACGTCATAACATGTTACATGCAGGATATGTTATAGCTTAGGATACTGTATGGTGTACAATGCACTTTCTTCTGGTCACAGAGCACTACTTTAACTACTTAGCACACATATCAACACAAACAGTATGTGACTGCAGGTAGTACACATGCTACCGAAATGGAAAGAATTCGAGTAGCTATCCGATGGTCTTTATCATTGTGGCAGAGGCACATGGCGGGTTGCCTTGTTTCTCTTCTTTAGGCATGACTGCATTTCATGACTGCAATTTATAATGTCTTTCATAGACTACATAGCACTATGCCAATTTATGTTGCTCAGTCAGGGCACAAGGACACGTGTATTTCACGCAGAAAACCGTTCTGAAACCAAAGTTCCCGTGACGTGAATGTCCAGCTTACCTGCTGTTGCTGCGACTCCAGTAGCACAGTGACAGTGTTGCATGGTGCTCTCATGCACTCGCGATGCTCCAGTGGCTTCTCCAGACCAGCTCTTTCGCACCTCTTGTCACTGGTGTAGCCGCCGGTTTGTTTGTTTAGGCAGCGCACTCTCTTGCGCTGCACACCGGTGCCGCAGGTCACACTGCAGTCACCGTAATCACGCACTTCTTTCCACTCGAATCTTTCGCTCGGCGGCAGACTGTACGCACACACGGCAAGAAGGCAACGCCAGGCATGAGTGCGCAGAGGAAAAAAAAAACACGGAATGTATGACAATATTATATGTACTGGAGTGCTCCCTGCACTCTGGTGTCATTTTTTCTCATTTTAGCACAAGCACATCGCCTTGATCCTACGGATCCGCAAAACTTGGCCTCCAGCTGAGTCTGACGCGAATCGTGAAATTTGTCTTTTAGCAAAAGGATCTCCTCATACTGTAAATATACAAATTTTCGGCAGCTACTTAATTTCGGCTATATTCGGCACCGACCCAAAACGCCTAAATTAAAACGCCGATGAAATTTTTCACAGCATCTGTCGCACTATCATGCCCTCTACCCCACGCCGAAAATAAATCGCCGCCGAAATGTCAAAAATCGTGAAGTGCCGAAATTTTGCAGCGCCGAAATTTTGTATATTTACAGTAGTTATAATTATGTTAGTGTTCAAACGCTCTCGCCATGGATATGTTCCTCCACGTCAGGTTCCATACATGGTCTCGAGTACATCCTCTATCTTGACAGTTACAGATAATACTATGCCTCATAGTCACGTCCCCAATTTGACTCAGTGTGAAAAAAGCCTTTCGAAACCCGTACACAAAGCTGCAGAAGATTAAACTTGTACACTGGACAATGCGAGTATTGTACTCAGACACACCACAAAAATAATACTTACACTGGTGACTTCCAGCTGAAGATAACATTGTTTGGCGGTCCCCTTGTTGGCCAGTACAGCAGCTGCAGAGCCAAAAAGAACGTTAAAATGACAGTTGATTTTCGGCGAAGATAGTCGTATCATCTGTGGTGATGCAAAGCCAGATGACTAGTGTTTGAGTTCGTAAAAGCCAGGGAGAACTGAAGCACATACCTGACCAGCGCTCTTTTCATGCTAAATGCAATCATCAGGTATCAATTGTGACAATTATCGATATGCAAACAATAGCAGTGTTGCCTTTACCTCAAGGACGAGTGGGACGTTGATTTTGCCTTTGATCTCAATTTTCTGCACTCTGTTCGGTTGGCTATGGTACACGCCAAAGGTTCCGGCGACAGAGAAAGCGAAGGAGCCAGACCGGATCGCAGTTCCAGGGCCATGAAGAAAGTATGTTCTTTGCGGCTTGCCAGCTACGTTGTCTCTCAGAACTGCAGAAAATATTATCCAGTCAAGCACATGGACACAAGTTCAGATGCCATCATACACAGTAGCATCGTAGAAGTAATGTTGCTGATCAATCTGATCCGACGGTTGAGAAGCAAATTATAACAATGTACTTCGAAGTAACAAAGAACCTTTTTATCAGACACTAGGTTGCACACTAAGCATGCATTTTATTTTATTTTTTTACTATGTTCACATACCCAACTAGTAAAATAATTAATAATAATAATGAAAGACAATGATACTGAGACTCTGACTAGGACAAACGTGACAACTACTCTTACCCATCAGTGAAGCCCGGTTGGTATTCGTCAGATTAAGTTGGATGTCCCATGATCCATTCAGGATGGAATTGCCTGATCCTCGGAGTGGGACTGGGTGGAAACCTGTGCAAACAGAGCAGAGAAACAGTCTCACTACTACGTCTGTCCGACTATTGTTAAACAACACCAACAGCAGCAGCAGCAACAACAACAAAAAAATGGCGACGACGACGACAACATCATCATCAGCAGCAGCACCATCCCTGCCTTAATAGCTTTGTTAACATTTTCCCAAACAGTCTGCTGGCTGGGGTGATAGTTAACTCCAACTGACTGAACTCACCGAAAGTAGTGAAGGCATTGCGGATGCCACCAGAGAACACCTTGCAGCTGTCACCTCTTCCATTGCACACACCACAGCCATCCACTACAGCAGTGGAGTTGATAATGTTGTCGCATCCAACACGCTGAAAAAACAAAACATCCATCCATACACGATGTAACATCGCCTCAACTAAAACACTTTTATCCTATAACTGTATAGTGTATAGTGTATAGCTTGTGCTGGAATTGAAACATTTCGGCATGCACAATCACACACATACACACACACACACACACACACACACACACACATACACACACACACATATAATATATAATATATGCACACACACATATACACACATACACACACACACACCTACATTCATACACAATCACGCATACACACACAACATGCTAACCCCCTCCCCCTATACACACATGTGCACAATCACTTACCATGCAGGTATCCCGAATACAACGACCATCATAACCGGCACTGTTCACACACAGTGTACCCTCCCTGACTGCAGAGCTGCGGCGGAAACGACGCCTCACGCTGCCGTCGATGTTACGATTCTCGCAGTATAACGCACACGCCTTCTCGTTTTGTGCTGAACAAGGAATCAAGGAAGACAATAACAGAGCATTACAATTTCAACCCTTCAATTTGCAATGCAGTACGGAAACATTTTCAAGGGGTGTTGTACAGTCGGAGCCAACCCTCATCAGTGTTGTATCATATGACGTTGCATGACTCAATCTGTGGAATAAGGTTGTTAACATTTTCCGCTCTTGACGTTCTTTCGTGCACACCTACTTCTATGTTTGTGGTAATCTCAATTGTTTTCAAGCAAGCATACGTTAACGACCATAATAAACATGATATTTCATTGTGACCGGAATGTTGCTTCATAATAACCATCCATCATACATTTTGACTTCTTCACATGCAATGCGCGCTAGCCACTCAGCCACTCACCATTTCGAGACTCGTGCCAACCGGAGCCAATGTTCCGGCATTCACTCTCACGAGAACTTAGGCCTCCGGCACATTGTTTCTATTCGTGGAAAGACATCCAGCATGCAAGAAAGCAACACAGAGAACACATGAGTATAGAACACATGAGTATAGTGTCAGGACAAGCAGTACTGTATACGCAATGATTGAATCATGGGCCTTGTGGATTCAGCGCAGAATTCGCCCCCCCCCCCCCCCGAACCAGACTTCATACATGTCACGTGCCTGTTGTCAAGTCGTTGCTAGCATTTGGCCAATCAGAGCAGCACCGTACCAGGGCATTATCAGACGATAATGCCCGGGTACGGCGTACCCATGCCCATTAGGAATGACCCCAGGCGTACTACGTACGCTGGTGCACTGCCAAATATGCACCAAGCCATGCCTTTTGGGCAGTGACCTGGTACATAATTGGCAGCACTCCAGCGCACATAGAACACGTGGGACCATTCCTAAGGACACCACATGCACTCGCACACACCACACAAAACGAAACTACTTACGTGCATCGTCCAAAACAATTATATTTTACTAGCAATGTCGACATAGGAGAAGTAATTTATAACAACGTGACAATAACACACAGCATGTCATTACCATGCATTACTAAATTCAAGTCAATTGAGACGAACAAGTCGACAGGTGAACATGCATCACAAAGTTACCTATCTGGAAGAGATCAGATTGTATCTCGAACTCCTTCAAAATATACAGTTACATCTACATGTACATGTACTTCAAATGTACCTAGCTACATGATTGTCCAGTGTACATATGGACCTCAAGTAAACTGAAAGCAATGCGAACAAAATCTCAGTTGTACATGTACATGTATGTGAAAAAGTATCATTGTTCCGAATAAGAACACTTACAATGTACTCTCAAAGCTAGTCTATTTACTAGTGCCACTTGGCCAAGGATGTTTGCGGCCAACGTTAACTCCAAAGCAGCAGCGAATGAGCTAACTTCCGTACCGCCCAATAGGCAACACTAACACCAAAATGCAAAGACATATTCCTGGAACTGCAAGTAAATCTGACACAAAACGTTCTATCATTCCACGGAGAAAGCTCCTTCCGATCTTGTTCGACCCTTCATTCATATGACAGCTGATTGGAACCTTCCTCCTCCCTTGACCATGTTTACCTTATTTGTCTACAACTAGGCACGTGGCATGTATGAACTATAATAAACACATGGTGCGTCGTGCATTATGGCTGATTGTATGCCCTAGTGCGTAGCCCTCGGTCGTGCACCGTAGCCCGCGGGCCTGCGGCCCTTGGGCTACGGTGCACGACCTCGGGCTACGCACTAGGGCATAAATCAGCCATAATGCCCTCCGTACCATGTGTTATTATTATACCAATGTGGGCAGACTATGCTATTAGCAGCATTCCATTCATACTAACAGTCCACTCTCATTCCATGTATACTAACAGTCCACTCTCAGAACAACGAGACATATGTTCCGTAAAACGTGCTATTTATGTTTGTTAGGCTACTACAAGTCCACCTGGGAAATGCAAGGAAGACTATTGTTCTGCGAATTCTTACAACTACCTCCAGTACTACTTGTACGATGTTACAGAACTCACATCAGCATTGCACACTTGGTACATGCGATCGCTGCCCTCACAAGGTCTGCCACCATGTTGAGGTCTGTACGCAAATGCAAAAGAACGAAAGCAGGAACAAATTGTAACTACATCCGAATTCAGATGTGAAAGAATCCCAGGTTAGCCGAACGTAAAATCATACGACCTTCATCATGCCAAACATAACACTTCTAATACTACTTCGTGGAATATCACCAAGGGGCAGTGATCTACAAGACTAAGACCTTTCACAGGATCACGATGGTTTACATCAGAAGATCTTACGTTGGGTTATTGCAAACACGCTGTCTGTACTGCACACCACCATCGCAGGTGGCTGAACACCTGGAAAAAGCTGAATAGAAACTCCAGCCGCCGTTAACCGGAACTGGTGGTGGTTCTGTTGCTGGTACCTGGGGCCGGGTCGTCGCAGGTGGATTGAATGGTTGGATATCTCTTACAACGTTTCCGGCCGGCAGCTCTGGGGGACAATAGTTGCCCTCCACAAGCATCTTCTCAGCTGGAACGCATTTGTATCTCCAACAGACCTGGAAAAGAGGAACAAAAATTCATGAAAACCAGGGGTATTAATATTACGGTATTCTTCGGGCCTTTGTTGTGTTGTAGTCCTTCCCAGTACAGCTCGGCTGGCGTTTTATCCTGCCTCAAAGTACATGTACTTGTCCTCTAGTAGTAGGATCAAAGTACATGTACTTGTCCTCTAGTAGGATCAAAGTATATGAGAATGTAGGCCATGTACCTTTTCATTATGAGGTACACATCCGCAACACAAACATCTCTATAGACTAAGGCACCCCATGCAACGTCACATTGATTATGTGTGTATTATACGTATTCTGGCATGCATATTGCAGAAAGGAACATCAGATTGAGATTGGCTGTATACCTTGTTGTAGCCGCACACTGTGCCATCCATGGCAGGCGTGTATGTGCTCCAGCAGCCACGATCCAACCGCCCGTCGTCGCAGTACAAGTGCCTGCAGATGTCCTCGCGTCCGTACGTGGTGCGATCGCAGAACTTGAACTGGTGGCCAGGACGGTACTGATGCTTGGTGTGCCTCCACTGCACACGGCACTGCTCGTTGCGGTCAAACAGCTGGCCAGCTGGTATGCGGCACTGCGTCTTCAGCTTGTTTTGCAAAGTACGGACAATAGTTGCGCCAGCATTTCCCTTATCCATGCAGGCAGAGTATTCACTCCTGCCGGGCACACAGGAGAAACATGCCAACAGTAGGGGAACACAGTCACGATCTTGAGTCATTCAATACACAATACAATGTACCTATACTGGCAATAGCAAGAGCAAAGGGCGCACCAGCAACAAAGACTATGGACAAGTTGTAACGAAATATTCCTGAGCATTTTCAAACCTTCTTAGTACATTCCTCTGATAAGAAAATGTTTTAAAAGAATGATCATGAGTTGTCACAACTTGGTTAACCATATCAAAGTCTTACCTCAGATATCGTCTCAAGTGAGCAACACTACACGAGGAAAACGTCCAGATACGTGGTGCATCGGAAGTGGATGACTTCATCAAGTAGCCATCACTAGCAGGACAGTAGCCTGCCTCCGTGGGATGACCGTCGTGAAACATACCAACACTGGGAAATGCGGAATCAGCAAAAAAGCAGAAACAAGAACAGGAAAATGTCTCATTAGGCCGAGGGGGTTTAGGCAATATCATGCTATCTCTATTCTCCGCTGAGTGATACCATGCCACTGTTATACCATACCACTGTTATACCATACCACTGTGTTACCATACCACCGTGATACCATACCACTGCCAACTGTTCAAGAGTGAAACTATGCATCTCGGTGTACATAGCAAAGTTGGTGTTGTCTTGACAACCCAGAAACAAGACACCCCACGTTGTGCGAGGACTGGCCCAAATGCCATTAAACACCAGAGTAACAACTGATTACAGTTTCCCCACCATTTTCTACTTCTGCTATATCTTCATGTATCCAAAATGTTATCGAATCAAGGTTACAGGGAACAGAAACTCCCAGGACAGATGTTCTTTGGCTTTTCAAGCAACGAAGCTTGTTGAAATTGCAGATGACAGCAAGGAATTATTACTCAAAGCAGGTGAAAAAGGGGAATGAAGGAAATTTCAAATTTAGTCTTCTGGGAGCATTTCAAAACATACTTGTGACCGAGCTCGTGTGCCAAGACGAATGCCGTGTTAAGACCTCCTTCTCTGTTGACAGAACATTCTCTATCTGGTGTGCAGACACCTTCAATCGGAGCACGACCTGATAAACACAAGCAACACACACAATTACAGTGATTGCGTTCAACTTATTGACAGTTCAGCAGAAGAAAATGGAACGCATGCATTGCTCAATTTCGCTCAAGGGATGAAAATATCTCTGCAGACCACTCAGTCCATCAGTCACTCAATGTAGTGCATATGCTGATCTTGCATGCCTGCCAGTGCTGCTTTACCAACAGTTAGTCACGTGGCCACGGCATGTAGACTGTTCACTCACCCAATTCTCCACAATCTGTGTCCTGGCCAAAGCACAAGCCATACCTGCAGGAAACATTCATAAGAAAGCAGCAAATGTGCCATGAGCCAATATTCATCGACGTACACATTTTCATTAGCAAAACCCCTGTGAGCCCACATTGTAATTCTATAATAGGAAGGCATATTTTAGTCTTGGCCTTTTGGAATCTCTCCATACAGTGACAACAGGGCACAGGAGAGTATTTCGAATTGTAGAAACCCTGCTCAAACCTAAGCTAGATCTTTTCAGTGTATGATTGCAAGCACCGTTTTGAACACATTATATCTCCAGGAGTTGCTATTGAAACTGATAAGATTATGTTCAAGTACAGCTGGATGACGACTTTGCATCACATACCCAGTGACAAGGAAGGCATGGTTCCAGCGATGTGCATGCCCAATACCGGGATTAATCGATTGCTGGTAGTTGCAAAAGTTTTTCAGAAGCCGACGAGAATCCTGAGTGATGTAAAGGTTATCCTGTGAAAAAATGCAATAATCATACAAATGCAATATAAATACAAATGGAATTTTGATCGCCCGTCCTGTTGAATTTTCAACGAAAAGCTCGTGAAATACACAAACACACAAACTTGCACATGTACTTGCTCACTGCCATAAACCGGTCACGTGGGTCTCCCCAGGAGAGAGGAGAGAAGAGAGAGATTCAGAGGAATATTGCAAATATGACTCAATTGGCTATTGAACCGTTCAAACGGCGATGCCTCCTGACATCCCTAACTCTTGAGTGGGCTTGGAATGGGTGGGGATAAGATGCAGAAAAAGCAGTGCTGACATAGTGCTAACACACACACACACACACACACACACACGTACATGCAATTTATATATACACATACACATGCACATACACAGGCATGCACACATATACACACACTACAAATACACGCACATACCCGCATACACACATATGCACACAGTACAGTACAATACGACCGTACAGTCAAAATGCCCAGACGTACTCCAAAATAACACAACTCGACAGCGCTGTACATACATAGATACAAGTTACCAATGGATGATAAAGGCGATGAAGATTGAATACTGCTTATGCACAAAGAACAATACTTATTATTGACGAGTATAACACCTAGCAAATTGAGCAGAAAGCAAAGTTTACCAAGTATGTCTATCTTCTTACCTGTCTTGTAGTAAGGATTCTGAGATTGATAAGCACAACATACACGGCATATGTTGACTTTTCAGGTTGGTAGATGAGATTGACCTGGATTTCATACAAAAAAGATATCCTCCGTTATTGATGTCTGCCTGTGATGTGGGAGGGGGGGGGGGGGATTTTCACTGCTCAGGGCCAACGGGTCAATCACACGGCACATTCTCAACCGCACAGAGCACACATCTTACACAACTGTCCGACTCAAACCGCTGGGTGTACTTAAATGGGGGGGGGGGGAGATCTGGACGGAGGGAGGGATGGGGGGGGGGGGGGGGGGCTGGGCGGAGGGAGGGGGGGGGGGTTGGGGCTGGGTATTACTCTGTCCAACTGGTCTAGTACATAAGCTAGCTCGCTTGTGCTCTGAATCAAGCCAGCATGTATCATTATAATATCACTCATAATCAGTATCATAATCGAGCAGAGACAACTGAAATATGTTGAGAACATGATGGCCATGATGTCAACACATTCACTCACCATGTTGAACATTGTCAACAGATAGCGAGAAAGGAACCCTTCATCTCCATCATATTTCTCGAACATTGTGTGATCTGCAATGATGGCTGCATGGATGAAGTTGTTAAGGAACTCGCGTGATGCAGCGGCCTGTCTCTGAAACTCGTTTAGAACCAGACTGTCACCCATGTCCACAGACATACGTTGCTGCAAAACACTAGCACTGCTCATGGGTGGTTCAATCTTGCCATCTTCATGGCAGAAGTGCTGAGTCACATTGTGTGCTGGCATTTCTGGCAATGTCTGGCGCTTTGAGCGCTTCCTGAGCTGCTCAGCATTGTTGTTGTGGCCCGGCTCCTTGGCTGTCTTCTCACGGACACGATGGACAATGTGGGTATGCCCATCCGGGTTGTGTGTGGCATGGGATTGGAGAGAATCCGAAAGAGGGTGGACATGGTAGATTTCACGCTTCTTTCTGATAGTGCCCATCTGCATGATCAAAAGCAACAATACCCAGAGTTAAAACCAATAACATGATTGTATATAGACTCGGATGTTGAGCCAATAACAAAATTTAGGGAAAGGAAAGAACATAATTATGTCTTAGTACTCTGTCAGTTTTGTGCCTAGTTGTTGCACTTTCTGACTGTATATACTTGTAGTATTAAATTTTAGTTACAGTGGTGGACAGTATAGTATTTAGTTACAGTGATGAACGGTTACTCTTAACTCATAAGCATATGTTCTTTCCTTTCTCTAAACCATTATATACTAAAAGTAAACTTTAGATAAGCAAGTAGCGAGTAGTCACTGTTCGACGAATGCATGCTCTATGTCCTCAGGCAGAACATAGGCACAGACAGTAGAAAACAGAAAGAACTCCACTGCAACTCTGAGTTTCACAACGCGTAATGTTTGTGTAAAACGTTTAGCTGATTTTTCAGATCCCCTTAATAAGTGCTAAGTGTTGTTTAAAAACCAATACGGTCGTATAACAGAGAGTGATATAAGTAATTAGTTCTAACATAGTGGCAGTACAGCAATTACAACGGCCGCAATGCAATGCTGGGTACTTTCTTCCAAAGACACACGACTAGTAAGACATGATCAGTGATCTTCGTTGAGTTTTCCCTTAGTCTACAGTACTTACCAGAACGCCATCACAGTTGGACATTGCAATTTCTGAGTCGTCATGAGACTGTATGTTACCATGGTGAAAGCAATCAGTTGCATGCGTGAACGTTCTCATGTCACCATCATGGTCGTGAATGTTGATGGCAAAGTTCTCGTGGAACATCTGTCGATTTCTCCGCAGCTCCATGTGGTGATCTTCGCCAAAGGCACTGAGATGTATGAACGTTTTGTCTTCGTCGTCGTTGTCGGCATGACGACGCTTTCGACGCCGAGTCAGCAGCTCCTCGTCGGGCAGGAGGTTGTGCGATAGGTATTGTCCCTCTGCATCTCTTGAGGTCGGTGTGACTAGGTCATACTCAGCATCTGTTGTGTCAGGCATTTTGGAAAAAAGTGGTATAATTACTACTCAGGTCACAATTTGCATTTTATCATTGTTATCCTAGATTTGCAGGATGTACATGTATGTTGCTCTAGAGTGTTTCGAGATACTTTACAATAAGAATCATCACGTTACAGTTGACTCCCACCCGTTGTATTTGAATTCCGATTCAGTGCATTTTTCTACCATGTAACGTGGAACAGACAAAGGAGTAAAGGAGATAGTCTCGAGTGTAACAGACACACTGACAGTCTACAAATTGAAAACACCACAGTGGCTGTACCTTCTTCACCGCTGAAAAACATTCCATGTTCTTTTTGTGACATTGCTTCGTGAAGCTGGAGTTGATGTGGAAAGAGAAGTATTGATAGAGAATAGAAGAATGAGAAGAAAAGGCTAGGACAGACTGCACACAGGTAACTATTACGCCTCACAGTTGTCAGGCCATTTTGCTACCCCCCCCCCCCCCCCCCTCCCACACACACATACACAGGTTCTGACTTCATGTGAGATTATTTTTGCTTTGAAAATAGATTCGTGTCAAAATTAGGCTGTCTAGGCAACTTGATGGCTACATTTTGTCAACCAAGGCATAAAGTTTTTATTTCCTTGCCAAATCTACTCGTTAGTGTTACAGCATGACATGCCTTGCATGCTGGTCAAGCAATGCATACAGTACTTCTCCGGGACATTGAAAGCATGACGAGGTAATGGCACACGTACAAGACTCACATGCCCCATTCTGTAAATCAGTCACTACTGTCCACTGAGTGAACGCCTGTGAGATCCCGTTATTGCTTACCCTGTGTTCAGCCACTACGCAGCTGACTGCTGCTGCTGCTGCTGCTGCGGCAGTCATAACAATTATGTGCAACGCTGGCCGATGCATGGTGATGTGCCGCTCCAAACGCGAGTCTAAACACCAGAATTATGGCAATTATTATACTAGTCTTGCAGACAACAATAATCAGTTGGGACGAAAGTCCGGTACTGAGGAATAACTTGTGATTTCTGTATTATTTATACTTCGTTTATGTATTGATACTTTTCGAGTACTGTATTGCAGTGCCCTAGCGTAGCCGTAGAGCACCGTCAGCTTTGCCTAGCACCGCACGTCCTTGTTTTCAGTCAATCATCGACTCAATGAAAGGAAAGCGTAGACTCGTCTACGGTCGAGCGCAACTAATAAGGTCACACGGGCTAGCACCTGAGTCACCAAGGCCAGGGCGCTCGGGAGTGGGGTCACTACTGACTCGTACTGTGTCCTGGTGGCGTGGTGCTGCGCTCTCTAGCTCTAGCTGCAGCTACATAATTATTATGTAGCTCATTTTGCGTGGGCCTCGCGCGCTGCGTCTCGAAGACCGAAGGGGAAGTGCAAGGTGACCTGGCCACTCTTCCGAGACTTCACCCTTCAACTTCAAGGCTTCATCGAGTGGCGACTCAATGAGGCCCACACGACGTGTCACCACTAGCCTAGGTCCGTACCCGTGTGGCGAGGCACTAGCGCACTCTCAATCTCGCGGTAGACCTACTCCGCTGCATTGTCATTCGCACTGCACGGTTTGAGCTGCGTTGGCTTACAAAAAAATGAGAACGGAGTATACCAGCACCCTTTCCGACATACATGCTAACGAAGTGCTAAAATTAATGATTATGTATTGCTCTGGGAAGCGTGCACACAAACAATGTCAACTCCCTAGGCTATGAATGCCTGAATAGCACAACAGCTCTTGCATGATCGCGATAAGAACACGACAACACGGATGACTGCTCCCGAACAAAGAACTACTTACTTGATAGGCGATGTTATTGAAGGAGACTTCTTTCCGCCATGCGCCCAGGCTAGGACATGAACTAATTTTGCTGTTGTCTTGTTGGCAGTTTTGCGAGTCTCCAGTCTAGCTCTGGCATGGCAGGATCCTTCCTAGGCCAGGGATTCTAATCCACTCATCCCTTGGCAACGACCCCCCACCCATCAAAACCATGTTCCAAACTAGTCTCGTATCGCCGGTGTGTAGCTGTCGCGCAGTACAGTGCTAGTGCACTCTGCGCTTCACCGTATTTGGCTTTTTCGCGAACACCCACTGACATGACCATGATGACGGTGGAAGTGTGCTCCAAGCGCTTCAGAAAATGCCAATATTACTAACTAATTTCGCCAGTGCAATTTTTGTACTTTTGCAGGGACCTACACAATAAGTCATAATACCATGTAATACGGTAGTTCAAGTCATGTACATGTACATGTAGTAGAAAAAGAACGTATGGGACGTATGGGAAAAGAACGTATGGGAAATAGCTCTCTCTCAAAGACTGAACAAGGACAGAAAAGCAGCCCTATCGTCTGCCCCGAAATCCTCCGCCCCGCCCTCCTTGGCTGCTACAACAGTACACAACAGTACAAGGTCTCTTCAAAAATGTATTATTCTTATTACATGTATTCTGTATTTCCACGATCGACGGCCCATGGCCAATAAGAAAGATAATAATAATAATAAATTATTATGATTCAAATCAGTCCACAATTATAAAATCAATCTAGCAAGTAAGGAAGACAATAAATCGCGCAGGGGTGGGGTTACGAATTTACGATGGCGTACAGCGTGAGCTACTACAGCAGCATATTGACGATAGAACGAGGCTACACGCCATTGATTTTAAAAACGCATGCTTGCTATTTGTTTCACGCAGGTCAGAGGGGGACTGGGGAGGGGTCGTTGGTTGAAACTGAGAAAGGACGGGTTGATGGGTGAGTTGGTGTGTTGGTATGTGTGTGATGTTCTCAATGTGTACATGTACA